GTGTCCGTCAATCTTGATCCTGAAGGCGTGCATGTGGAGATGTGTCTACTGACATGGTTGCATGGCCAACACATCTGATAGCACAGCAACCTTCTGATTCAGGTGGCACTTTGACATTCGTGAGTGGCCACCAGCGAACTTGTGCTTTGTACTTTGCCTTGTGGTACTGTCTCTTGGCTGCTCAGATGTGTCACATCAGTGCACTTGCAAAGCACTGACGTGAAGTCTTGCCTGAGGCTGGAAGAACCTGAGAGATCCAGGACAGTATCCTGACTGGACCATCCAGATGGCCAAGAAAGTCCCTGTCACCGTCTATGCTGTCAGCAAGGTGGCTGCAATGTTCACAGGCCTGTGTTGTTGCCTTCTGTTTGAAGCATCAGTAACCCCCAATCTTCCAAGTCCTCATCTTCACGCACAGGCTTGGCGCATTGTGCGACATCCAAATATGCCACAACGGACTTCTCTGTCTACACTCTTTTGAGCCTGATGGAGCAGTGTAAGCTGAACATTTCTCAGTTTAAGGACCTGGCTCCGGACTCAGATAATTGAAAATTCATGCCTCAGCTACTTTTGCACATGTGCTTCTTATCTTGTCAAAGATACAAGTTTTGTGCCTTAGGTCAAGCAACACGTGCCTACACTTGCTCAAGAGGAGTCCATCTTTCCTTATAAGCGGTTGGCGTCCATGGCAAGGAGAATTGACCGAGCAGCGATCCTGAGAATCGAAAGCATGACTGCCAAATACTTCAATGCTGAGATCTGGCCTGCATCCTGGTGGCGTGATACAAAGTGCTTGCTACCTGGTGCTCGGGTTACCCAGGGATCGATGCCAGCACCATTGGCGCAGGAGCTGTTTGTGGCCAGGACCCTGAAAGAGGCACCTCAGCAATTTTTGTCATTCGCATTTCTGGACTGAACCATACTCTCCGCCTTTTTCATGCGTTCAGGTTGAGGATGCATTCCTGCTGCTTTGCCCTGAGCCCGACAAGTCCACTGCCATCACCATCCGCAAAATCTTCCACAAGATCGATGTCCCTTCATCCCGGCGTGCATTTCTCAGGGAGAAGGCCCTGAAGTTTTACAAGATATTCGAGCATAAGCAGTTTGCCTGGACTCTTGAAGAGCGTCAGTTTCTCACGGACAGCTTCATCAGTGGCTGCTGTGATGTTGATGTGGAGACATCATCTGTGGACCGATGGACGGTAGTGCGCCAGCTGCTGAAAAAGCGCAAGCATGTGGAGTCAACAATGGAATTGGGAGAGCTGAAACGGTAACTTGGCCACACCATGGAGAGCTGTCCTCTTCTAGAATTCCACATGTGTGTCAGTCCATGGACTCTTTCTGAAACAAGGCAGCGTGAACAGCTGGAGCTGTCCTTGCTCAAGGACCAGCAGATGGCTTCTGATCAGGAAAGTCTTCTGAAAGAGATCTCCACCACCATCCTGAAAGAAACTTACCACAGCTCCAAAGACAAGGCTCAAGATGTACTGAGCAAGGCCATGGCTACGGTCACAGCATCCCAGGACAAACTGAGCCAAGCTGTCAAAGGGGAGGTGGAGGCCAGATTCAGCATCATGGAAGTCAGAAAGGCTGCAAAAGAGTTGCCACCAGCTTGGCTGAAGCTGGCTGCCAACAAGAACGTTGTCCTGCTTATGGACTTCAACCTGATGGAAGAGTCTGAGCATTTGCCTGACATCACTGCCTCTGCTTTGGGTCTCCTGCCTACTAGAGTCTTGCATGCAAGACAGATGTAGTTGGAGTCAAGGCAGGTATGCATGATGCATGTGCTGTAGGTTTGGTGATGAACTCGGCAAGTGTCCTGAAGATCCTCATCCTGCCCTTGGGTGCAAAAATGACAAACCTTGAGACTGAGCTTTTGAAGCTGCTTGAGAAATGCAATGTCTCTCGTTGCTTCGGAATTCTGAGCAAGAAGCCTGACTGGGACAAGACTTCTGCAGTTTGCCAAATGTTGCTCGTTTACGATGAGGATTGCTGGTGCAAGGACCCATGACAGCACTTGAGGCTTGTTCCGAAGTTTGACAGGGTTTCCTAATAATCAGGTCAAGACAAGCTGAACAAAAAGCATCTCAAAACATACTGCTCAAACCCCATGTACCCTGAACCTGAAACCCTGATCGACAGCATGCAAACATTGTTCACATGACATCCTCAGGACATTGCTGCTGGCAAGGCAGCTTTCCTGAACCTCAGGGTCGACACGTCACACACCCTGCGTGGGGAGAATCGGCATTCGATTGGAACAGAGAAAGCATGGGGACAGAAATTCTATGCTGTGCCTTGCCTCTCATACATTATAGAAGCTTATGCAATGACTTCTCATTCCATCCGAATTCCCATGCACATCAGCAACACGGTCAACTGGCCCAGGATCTCCTGTCGGGTCTCCACATCGACCTGTCTGATTGCCTGGTCTTGGAGATGGAAGCTGGACATGGGCAGCTGCTGAATGAGATCATGGAGCATCATCCAGGTGGCTAGTTGCTCAGCTCAAAAGCCATGTGTTGGCTGTTCTGCCCCACCGAGGCTGCTCCTGGAATGGTGCGGTCTGGGGTGTCGCTCCAGGCCGCCGAACTGCACTGGCCAAAAAGATCACCGATGGCCTGAGCCCAACGATCACACGTGAACTGAAGAGGACATTTGCTTTGAAATAAAGCTTGGTGTCTCATCAAGAAAGTGACATTGCACAATGTGCTGAGGAACCAGAGTGACACTGATGGTACCCTGATGGAGCTCGCCAAAGAGATGCCCCATCTGCATGTTTCTGAGCCTTTCTCTGAGAAGATGAAGGAGTACCTCACAAAAACTCGGGCAGACTCCACTCTGAAGCAACTTGAGGCCAATTCTGCAACCGTCTGCTGTTCACCATGCTGCTGTAGCTGTTGGACACACTTTGCATTTGACCTGTCAGGTGCCATCCTCGACCGTTGGTACTCACGGACCCTTCAGGGCCCTTTCCAGAGACCAGTGCACCACGCAAGGTGCTGAGCCGTGAGCCTTCTCTTGAGGATATTGTCGCAGCCCGCCTTCCCCAGAACATGAGCTTCTGGCAAGGTACCTGAGCTGGCTACCCTGAGCCCTGGGGGTCCCGGTTTTGCAGTGGCTTCTGGTTTCCTTTTTCAAAATTACTGGGGATATGTGACTGCCACCCCAATGCATTGGCATGGTTTCTGCTGATACTAATTACATAACACAGGCATGCTGGACAACTCTGTCGCCCTTGTTCCATCCTGTTTTCATGATGGGTTAGCACTGCAGCCAACGAGGATGCTTGGTGCTCAGTTGGCAACTGACATCAAGACAGCAAGTCCTCATGCCTCATCATTCATTTTGCTGACCACTTCAAATGCTCAGGTTCAGAGCACATGATACAGTTCTGGAAGTGACCGGCTCCTGGTGCACTCACAAGCAGCTTCCTGAGGGCACTCAGAAAGCCCTGAACATTCAATTCGGATCACCTGCTAACACATCCTTGTCTATGAGCTTGGACAAGCACTTGGCAGCATTTCTGCATGTGGTTCCTTGCAAGCAGATGCAGCAGCATCTGATCTATTTGGAACCTGTGTGGTGCTTTGGCTCAAAGATTTTGTTTCTGACTGTTTGTTTGTGTCTTTGTCTGAATGCAAGCCTCCTGCTATGAGGTCTTTCTCGACAGCATCGAACCCTGTCCTCAAATTGGTGTCACCAGTGGACATTCTATCCTGGAGTGGTGAGCTTGCTTTGGTGTTCCAGATAGCCGGCAAGAAGAGCACTGGCAACAAGGCTTCTGAAGAGCAGGAACATATCCAGGCTGTTGCGCTGAAGACGCCTGATCCAGAGACGAAAGCCAATGATGCTGCCGCTGCTGAGAAAGGCCAGAGTCTTCAGACTTGTTTTGAGAAGGAGAAGAAGACCGACCCAACGGGCA